TCTCTTCTCGGTAGTCACCCCATGGTGTTCTCCTCTCTAGCACCCTACTACTCCCAGTGACGACTCTGCTCTCACACCTGTTTCGCAGACAGGGCTGTCGGTGCCCCTCAGGGGTCCCCTCTTCACTATCCAGCTTTGCTGTTACAATTATGAAATAAATCAGGTGGCGCGCACTGGCAGAGTATGTCATGTATTGTATAAACCACTTCAAACAACAAAATATCCGAGAAAAAGCATTTCGAGCAATGAGAATACAAGCATTATTTGTACACAATGTAATAATAACCAAAGTGAAAAACCACACATGCTAAACTATTCACTTGCCCTTTTGGGCATCATTATGGGCAGCACCCTCATCTCCCTCTTCTTTTCCCGTTCTTGATGGTGAATTATGGTCAGTTCCACCACGAGAAAGTCATCCTAGAGAAGATATTGAATGGGCCTATAGTCGAAGCTTCAAGAATGAATTGAGATCATGGGGGTTCTGAGGTTTGCCATCGAAACGCAAATAGTCAAGGTATTGCGAGTGTATATTGCGACAGCATAACCGATCTAGACACATCCATCAGTAATCTTTCTTCTAACATACCCATGGATGGCAGTCGTGCTTACCGATTCATCTCTTTCGTACTCTTCTTATCCCTATTCCCGACACCCAAGGATACCGCAATCCATGCTAGCATTTCCAACCCTTGTTGCATGAGAGCATCCTTTGCCGAGGAGTTCTCCCAACGTTTGGGTGAACGCACGGGACGAGTGACAGGTGCAGTTGAAGAAACCAAGCGAGTTCCTTGTAGGCGGCATTGTTGATCGCAGAATAAATTGAACCAGCATAGCCTTTGAGTTATCTCACTGGCCTAGTATCTTGGAGTGTGAGTTGTGAAAGTGAAGTAAGGAAAGAAATGATACTTGCCAATTGGGTTGGCTCTGGTACTTACCCGAATGGGAAGGCGCCATTGATCATTCATAGATCGCGAATGTGATGGGAGAAGAAGTGATCAACCAAAAGTGATAATGATAATGATGATGATGGATGGAAGATAAAGATCTAGCTACTGCCATGAAGCTCTCTATATAGCTACATGCTACAAAGCCACCAGATTCCATCCTTCAGAAACCAGAAGAAGCATTTCTGCAGGCATACAAAGAAAGTGCCAACACAGCAAGCTAAACGGCAAGCTGCCTGTCAGAGAAGTGAAAGAAAAGGAAAGGAATGCCGCAGAGAGGTTTAGAATATTACGTGCTAGCTAGTTACTAAAGTAGTTTCTCAAGTAGTTGCTTAAGTAGTTGCTAAAGTAATTGACGATCAAGTAATTGAAGATAAAGCATTTGATTAAGCATTTAAGGCAGGGGGGAGAATAAGCCAGTAGAGGGGTGCTTTGCGTAGCATTAGAAGTTGGAATCAGTGGCTTCGCTCTGCAACGACTATCTGGAGGCCTTAAGCCGTCGAGATCCCTAGTATACATTCGCATACTGAGTCGGACCTTCAAACCGGGGAATTGACAGGCTAAGCAACATTAGATGGTATTGGATTGTATAAAGTACGAACTTTACTGTGGGCAAAATGAGTTATGACGCACTGGCGGTTGGAGACTGCCATACTGGGCAGAAATGATTGTAAAGCCGATGTGAATGAACATCGTAGTAAAACTCAGTAGAATATGGAGAATAGGCAAGAGAAAGATGCGCACTGTACAGTTAGGAGGCAAGAGAAAAAGAGCGAAAAACAAACATCGTAGGAATCATGAGTGGTTGTACAAAGGTGAACATAGGCTTATGCTTGCATTGCCGCAGCCATTCCTCCAGGCAAGGGAGCATCAAGATCCAAATTCTCGATAGAACGGCGGTTCTCGCTACTGTCCCGGAACAGGTTAGAGAAATATTTGGTGGCAACATCACTCTCTTGCTTGATTTTGGTGACCTCTTGCTTGCGTTTGCCGAGATCCTCAATATCCTGAGAAAGACAGGTTTGAAGATTATTGGCAGGCAAGCGCAACATACGGCGAACTTCAGTCGAAATTCGGTTGGCATTTGAGTGGACATAGTCCATCTCAGCAAGGGTGGCGGCGATCTTCCGCGACAGGCGTGGGGGAAGGGTGGTCGGGATGGAGCTGAGCACGTAAGCTGTGGTCAAAACAGCTTGTATGAAGTTAGTATATGATTGTTCTTTGTGAAAACGAATGGGCAAAACTCACCAGCAGCGAGGATACTAGGGAAGAACAGCCGGCGCATGTTGTTCGGGCCAATGACTTTGATAGCACTCAAGGCACTATCCACCCAACCGAATCCACCCAATGCCCTACCACCAAGTACAGTGACTGCAGTCATTGCAACGCCTGTTCCTGCCATCTTCTCTTGGCGCTCCCAGAGACCAGCAAAATCGAAGAAATCCCACAGCTCAACTTCAGTGTCGACCTGTCGGCCAAATGTGTGGCGACGGCCACGGCGGAACATCGCATCCGCGCGGAAGTTGAGTGGGGTAAATTTGTCTTCACCAATGTGCAGAAGACCGATATTTTGGATGAAACCGACTCCTTGAACTGTCTTTTCCCGGGCATAGTCCTCGCAGTTGTTGACAGACGAAGCAATCTCATCCAGCATTGCCAGCTTCAGTTCCTCAGCGTACTGGAACGCTGAAAAGAGACCAGGGTATTCAACACCGAGGTCTGCATCAGAAACACGTGTGATTGTGTTAGTCAATGTCGAACGAGTGTGGTTGTAGACATCATCGCATGAATCGTCGATAGCCTTGTTGACACCCTCTGCAATCTCTCCCTTCTTTTTCTTGCCGTTCTCGAATGCCGGTACAAGCTCCGCCAATTCATCGGTAACTCGCTTGAGCTCCGACTGTGCAACATCACGGTTGACTGTGGCAAGAGAGCCAATGTCAGCTAAGAGATTCAGAAGATAAGTTTTGGCAGGCGCAAGCTTGGACCGAGAGCGCTTTTCAAGGACGAAACGTCGCAAGGCTCCTTCGAGGTTCTCGAAGTCTTGGAGTTTCTCCCGTTCTTTGCCCTTGCCCTTATCTTTGGAGTCCTTATCGGCGTCGTCATCATGAGGATCAGAGCCACCGCCGTCACCACCACCGGAGCCAGACTGTGAGAAGGCTGAAGGTGCAACAGGTATAGCATTGCTTGAAACGAAATGAACTAGCTCGGCAGCCTCCTTGTATGTGCGAGGGCTGAGTTTGCCGATCTGATCCAAGATCATGCGTTCGCAGCGCTTCTTGTCGCGAATTTGGTCGAATCCGTTGACTACCATGAAAATATATGCCTTCTCATGTGCAGCATTCAAGATGAATTCTTTTGCAGACAATGTGAAGTGATTTGCGGCGGAAACCACAAACACAACGACGTCGATCTCCTCCTGCCGAGCAAAGACAGCCGTGGTTTTCAACGAGTCCGAGTTTAATCCGGGTGCATCGATCAAAGCGATGTCAACCACGCCGTTGTTCAGCAATGATTCGTCAATAGACCGTACATCCCTGACGTAGACTTTGCACTGCATGTACTTCGTGTTTTCGATGACGATATTTTCGAGTTCGGTGAGAGCATAGACATCGAAGGTACTTTCGTCATTGCGGTTGTATGGCGTATCTTTGTGAACGGCGTGGACTTCTTCAACGCTGCAATTTTCGCGAGCATCGAGAACCTCACAGAAGATGCTGGTGCAAGGCTGTTGGTCCTCTGGCAACACCTTTCGGCGCAGTAGAGCATTGCAGAATGTCGATTTGCCTGCGTTCAAGTCTCCTGTAATCAGGACCTTACTTGAAGTGTCCTCAATTCTATCTCGCAGCGAAAGGAGATGCTTCATGCTTTGGCTGATTTTTCCATCCAACAGGGCGGCAACCGATGCCTTTTCTAAGGAATGTACTAGCTCTGCCTGCGAAAGAGCGCCGAGTTTAAGATCCAATTTGAGAATAGAGAACTCTTGCGCAATCTGCGGGGTCATCAATCTGGGCTCTGTCGGCACACGACGTTGGACCGAGGCACTTGATTCTCCTAATTCGTCGCTAACTGCCAAGGTGGCTGCGCGCCTCAGGGGCGGGGTGCTGAGTATGTTATCATTGCCTCCAAATTCGGATTGAGTTTGATGTAGTGACGGTCGGACCATGGGGGAAGAGGGCGTGCTCCCCACGGAGGGATAGTGGGCGGGCCATTGGCGGTTCATTTCCTGAAGCTCCTTCAGTGTGTCGATGGTCCGGGAGATCGCACGAGCAAGCTTGGTTCGGTTTGAGTTGCTGGAAAATACTGTAAGCCTTGGACTTGCATGAATGAATTGTTTACGGGGAGGGGAGACATACTAGAGAAGTTGAGAGACATGACTGGCAACCACTTGCTTCTCATGCTCAGCTATATCCCAAGATGAATTAGCTCAATTATCTTCCCTTTATATCACACCATTCCATGGCCGTGGCCACTTACCTGCGGGATTCCATTCTCCAGGGCGCGTTGGAGTATGCACCGGAGTCGGCCTATCCTCCATCAATCCTGCACGCCAAGCAGAGTTCGCATCCTCCTCCGTATCAGCAATACTGCCTCCATAGCCAGAATCTTGATTGAGCGAAGTCATCAGGGCTGTGGCACTGTCCGAAGTCGAACCGTTGCCCACAGTCATATAAGTCGGCGGGGGACGGAAAAAGGATTCTTCTGAGGAAATTCTTCCTCTCCTGAGAACCTGGACGAGCCCGCCCCGGAAGACGGGCCTTCACCAGGGTGATATTCCTGACTCATGACGAATGAAAGACCTCAACGTGGGGGCGACATCCATACAAGAGAAGTTGTGTTTTTGGTGGTTTGATTATGAGATGATCGATTTCTCGGAAGGTTTCAGATGACGTCGGGCCAAAAACGGATTAGCGTGCATGTGACCCGGTATCATAGTAATGCGCCTGTAATCTTACCATACCGCGATTGATGTCACTGTCTCTACTCAGGCTCCCATATTGTACCTGGATTTACTTCTTACCTCGAACCGACTGCCCATCATCCCCTGCAATCATGAATGTAAGCTGCATATTGAATGCTTAAACATGGATATTTACTCACATTAGGTCTCCTAGATTGTCGAGTGGGCTTTCGGAAAGCGCATGACCCCCGCAGAACGTCTGCGTAAACACCAGCGTGCCTTGGACCGAACACAGCGGGAGCTTGACCGAGAGCGAGTGAAACTAGAGAACCAAGAGAAGAAGCTGGTACAAGACATCAAGAAGAGTGCCAAAAATGGTCAAGTTGGTGCCTGCAAGATCCAGGCCAAGGATCTGGTTCGGACACGGAGGTCGGTTTCTCTTTATTGTTTACTGATCAAAGCAGCATTGACTGATTGGGATGGCGACAACAGATATATTCAGAAGTTCTATCAAATGCGCACGCAATTACAGGCTATTTCTCTACGCATCCAGGTATGCGCAAGCTTTCCTCCGCTATCCCTCTTGGTTCCGCGATGCGCTGACTATTGCTGCTTCCTAGACTGTCCGAAGCAACGAACAGATGATGCAGTCGATGAAAGGAGCCACAATGCTTCTGGGTAGTATGAACAGACAGATGAATCTCCCCGCACTGCAACGGATCGCGATGGAATTTGAACGAGAAAACGATGTTATGGACCAACGGCAAGAGATGATGGATGATGCGATCGACGAGGCCACAGGAATGGAAGGCGAAGAAGAGGAAGGAGAAGATATCTTGAAGGAGGTTTTGGACGAGATTGGTGTCGATCTGAACCAGGCGGTTTGTTGCCCCAAACATTGGAAAGTGGACCCAGCAGGCTAACATATTCCATCTACAGCTTGGCGAAACACCCCAACACATACAGAAAGCACCAGTGAATGAAACTCGAGTTGCGCAGGCTATTGGAGGGGGAGGCAATACTAGTGATGATGACCTCCAAGCAAGACTGGACAGCCTTCGGCGATGATTACGACTCTTCTCTCTTATATGCCATTGATGACGGAGGTGATAATGCGACCTGCTGTTTTGAGCCCTAATTGAGATTACTTGCCTTGCTGTTATTATTAGCATACCTTGGAAGATATTCTAAATACCAATCCATTTCCTTTCAACCTCTTCGCATTTCTCTCAATAGGTCAAGGGTGCCTAGCCGTGAACTAGATAGTTATACATAAAATCACATTTTGGCTACATACTGTTGAACGAAAGGGTGACTGTACTGTTTTCTATTTTCTATGTTACGAGTAATAGGACAGCAGATTGCTATCAAGCTCAATTCGACTCCCAGATCTAATACTCCGCTTGTGATTGAAACACCATTCCCGACATATAAGATTGGAAGCTTTAGGATGGTGCCTTTCAGGAGGGGGAACTTACTCATATTCACAATCATCAGATCCACCAGAAGAACCAGAGGAATTATATCTCGGGCTGTTGAGGATGGGGATTGATATACCTTGATCCTGTGATATACTTGGCCATGGAAAACCCCTTCGACCATCTGCACGGGTTTTATCATGGAATTTCTTGATAAAGGGTCTTTTCAAAGGTCGACCAGACTCGAGTTCTTCAGCAGACCAGCGAGAAAACCAAGGAAATGACGATAGCTCTTCCAACGACGGCCGGTCAAATTTATCTCTAGCCAATGTGGCTTGCAGTACATCCCTGCAGTCCTGTGAGAGTGATTCGCTAATTGCTACATCTTCGTTGATCATTCTCTTGCGTCTGCGTTTGACTACTGGATAGAACGGGTCATTGTAAGAGCCATCATACCTAGCGTGCCAGTTCAAACTCCTCGGCACTGGTTTAGGCTCATCCCAGGCCCAGAAGCCATGCAGAAACCCGTAAACCAGCGTTGAATATTTCCACAGGCAAATATCCCGCTGGTCAACAGGTAAGTAGATACTTTCGATAGAGACATCATCGTGGGATGGATCCCTCCAAATGTCGTACTTCTCCAGTTCGATGGCTCGCTCGGGCATCATTTGGTACTCTTGGTAGGGAATAAAGTGGTCTGTTTTCATTGCAAAACCTGATTTCTCAAGCGAGAAGTAGAGCATTCCAAGATCGATTAGTTGAACGTTGAGGTTTTGGTCCATTAGGTAATTCGTCACTGAGATATCAGCATGGCAGACCTTCATATCCGCTAATTCTATCATAGCTTGGAGAAGCTGAGAAGCAACCTTGCAACCTTCTATTTCCCCCAGTTGAGGTTCTTTGGTGGCTGCGGACATAAGATAGCTGCCATCAAAAGATGGAAACGGGGGGTATCTCTTTCGGATGCGCGGTGGTATGGCCCCCTTTGACTTGATCCTGTTAAAATGACCCTCATCAATAACTGAAATGGCTTCATAGCTAGGATCAACGCAGGGGGTCATGAGAATTGCTGTTAGCATACCGTGAGTGTAGACCGAGTTAAGCCGCGGGAACCTTGGACTATCGTCGAGATAGATCAGAAGAAGTGCTTCTTCTGGCATATATCTTTTCTCCCCGCTAGCCTCATAGAAGGGTCCCATCTGAGTATTTACACCCGATAATGTGTCCATCCATTGTGTTGTGTGGATTTGAGATTTGATTGCGAATTGTTGAAGGTCCTCCAGGGAAGCACCAGCAGCGCCTTTCTCGCGAGCAATAAATGTGGCACCAAATGCTGTGATCAGTTAGCAGTATATCCATGCAAAAGACATCACATTAAGGGGAGAATGGACTTACTTCCTGCGCCTATGAACCCATATATCTGCACTCGCTCGATAAGGTGCGGACAAAGGCATACTGCTTTCGCAGTCGTCCTCCCCTCAGCACTTAAACGGATGAAATCCCCATATGAAGTGGAGTTGCGTTTTTGAAACACTTCGCTGTCGCATCTATGACCTGAATCGTCCCGGCAATTACACCTCGAGAATTCCTCGTTATTCCGTTTGCCAAACGCTACCCCTAGACGCTCTCGAAGAACCTGACTTACTTGGGGATACCTTTTGGACAATCGGCTTGAGGGGTCTAAAAGACTTTCGGCATTGTAAGAGAAGCTATCATCGTAGTCCTGGTATTTGAATTCGCGGGCCTGCGACGATGGATGGTGTAAAGTATGATTCCCCTTGATTGCGCCCAAGTCTCTCCCTAAGAGATAATCAAAAGCATAAGGATCCTGTTCATTCACCCCCATCTGTTCAGTCATGGCAGTTGATTAAATAAGTCAAATAGACAAAAGTGATGAGTGAAGTGAGGAAAGTCCAAGGAGCAAAGTAGGTCGTTTATATAAAACCCCCAAAGAATATTCAATGTATTGTTCTCAGAATAGACAAATGAAAGGAATCATTCGAAATAATTCTTATGAATATCAAAGAGTTCCTTTTTAGAACAATAAACAAAGAGATCACCCGTAACAAAATCACGCCACTAAAATCTTATATTTCTCAGATAATGTTCGTATCCAAATAATATTCACCCGGGCGACTTGGGATAGTCATGAGGCTGAAGTTGCCTTGTTTTGAGCCTCTGCACCCGGGTGAGAAACGAGAATCGGGAAAGAGAAAAGTCAAGTATACGAGCAAACAAGATACATAAATAGCTGTCGCTATTCTCCTCAAAGAGTCAGATTTTTTCAAACAGCCGACTTTCCCTTTAAAGGAAGAAACAAAGAGAATCATTCAACCCTCTGCCCTTACCAACAACAATTCGATGCAAACCTCAAAGGACACCCCAAACACAAACCCATCGTTTCCGGTCGGCCATTTGCGATATGACCAGAAATTCTCGGCCTCCGAATCAGCAAGTCGTGTTTACGAGGGCTTCACATTTTCCAAGGCTATGCTCAAACAAAGTTCCACATGGATCTGTGCGAAACGGACAGACATGCATCGGAACCAAGACGAATACTTCAAAATGGTTCATGAGAGAGCAAATCAACAGTCTGTAGCGCAGCAATACCAGAGCATATCCTCTGATATCAGGCGCGCTCATGTAAATCAACTGATTGCCGAACAAAGGCATAACAATCCACTTGTTGAGTGGAGTTGCGTCTACGTCAAAGAACACACGCAGATGTTCAAGGCCGGAAATTCTCGTTGCACTTACTATGAGACTGTCTCTATGGATGTCATAATCATGCAAAGACCGATGAGGACCCAAGCACATTCCAGAATCTCCATGGGTGATCCAGTGGCTATTAGGAAAACTTTCCGGCCGGATACAAAGAGTTCATTTATGTGCTCTCATCACAGAGACCATTCTCTGACGCCAGATAAAAATGGGAAGATCAATGCCATAAACAGCAGCGGCATGAGTCTTGAGGATACTTCAGATTGTTCATCAGAAAGTAACAGCGACCCAGATGATGCATCTATGCTTTCTGACCAATCCGATGAAACATCCGCAACAGACGACCCAGAAAGAATGGAGACCGAGACCGAGACCGGGACCAAGACTGAGTGTCAAGAGCCGCGACCAAATCAGGCCTTTGTCCAAAAACAGAATGCCAGTCCTTATCGACGCGAGCCGAGTCATGGACTTCATTTTCAGCGAAAGTCACAAGGCTGCAGCGGTAGCCTTGACAGAAGGCATGGCAGGAATTATCTCCGCGATCAGTTTGAGGTGCCTCCGGTCAAGATTCTCGGCCCACGATGGGCTGAAAGGGTTTGGTCAGGCCCGGTGCCTAGTAGAAGATATCGAATGCAGGTGATGAACGACAATGAGATTCGAAGCCGAATGCTTGATCACCGTGAAGCATGTCTTGGACATCGGGAGCAGTGGCTGAAGAGAGCCTTTTCTGAAGCGTGTCAGCTTGAGCGTCCTCAACCGGTGACAGATCTGCCAACAGTGTGTCGCTGTACCTGTCGGTGCGCGATCAAGGAGGATGTGTGACAGATATATTCTTTTATTTTGCATACTTTTTTGATATGGCTACTGCTTTTTTTTTCCTACCATGAGAAGAACTGTTTTTAATTGCACCTCAGATTTATATAAACAGAATTTGATCAGTCAGGTATACTAAACGATACACCCTTCCTATTTAGTGCTCATCCTGGCACAGACCCACGTTGAGAATTTCCCCCTGTGCTGCCTATCAAGTCGTAGCTCCATACCTCTTGCTGCGTTGCTCAATTTCAGACCTAGCGGTTGTTTCTGCCTAGGAAACACATTACAAGAATAGCAAGGATAATGTACAAAACGCCTAAGTCGAATTAGAAATGCACCACTTGTGTTGGAAGGGATGACTTACTCCAAGTCAAGCTCATATAAGTATAACCGAAGTGTTCCTTGAGGGATCCACCGATGATTGGTCCCAGGACTGTCCCAAGCGATGCAGCAACATCATCAAGAGAGAAAACACGCGACATGCCCCCTTCAGGTCCGAAGATACCAGGTGAATCCTCTTGATAAGCTCTCACAATGGCTGTCAAGAGTCAATAGCAAATACTAGAGTCGGGATAAGGCAGCACTCACCGGAAAGTTCGACGGGGCCCACGTTCGTGGTAAAAGGTCGCGCTGCACCAATGGCGAGAATGCAGCCCGTATACAATGCTCCGCCTCCGGCCTGAGTACCGGTCCAAGGGAGAATATTGGTACCGGCAAGGCCCAATAGCCCAAGAATCGCCGCTTGAAAAATCGCAGAAGCCATAGCAGGATACCGGACTCCGAAGCGATCACGCAACCACCCAGCCAATGGACTGATAAATAGAGTTGGCATAATGAGACAAGAGAACAAGAACCCGCTTTTTCCGGGGCCCCAGCCGAATGTTTCTTGCACATGGATGGGAAGCGTAGCATGGAAGCTCGTGCCAACCGTTGTTGTCGACACGGCAACGAACAATGCAGTCAGCGCTCGAACATCAGTGAGAATAATATGCCAGAAGTTCCCTGCGGTGGATGGAGTTTGGGAGTTCTCGGGAGCGAGTAACGGGCTGGTAGTCTCATGCGTTTCTGATCCTGTCGATTCTCGCTTGCAATTAGAATTCTCCACTGATCGACTTTCGATCATGATAAAACGCGCGCCAAAGTCTATAGTGAGAAGCAGGAGCGGCAATGACCACGTCGGCCAATAGCCTACAAGTTCCAAGAGCAAACCAGAAATGGATGGCCCGCCTATTAATCCAGTATATATGAAGGACATCATTAAGCCCTCGACCTTGCCCATATTATCTCCACCCACGGTATCAGCCACGGTCGCGAGGCCAACAATCCATACTGAGGATCCGGCAATGCCCTGCATCACACGACCGACGAAGAGAACAGCAAGCGAGGTTGAGCCAGCGACCATGCCAGTACCGATCATACACACGACAAGCGATAGTAGTAGTGGGAGCTTTCGATTCGAGGTTTTATCAGCGAAGTGGCCGATGATGGGACCTGACACAACCGAGACGATTCCATGTACGGCGAGAACAAGTGATGTGAGTTCCTGGATCCTGAATTGATTCTCATGTAGTCGCGTACGAAGCATGTACGGTAACATAGGCACAAGGAAGCCATAGAGGAATGTTTCTATGCACTGTCAGCCACTTGCTCAACAAGAGGGCGTGGGGTACACGAACCGGCGAACAAGGCAATTGCGACTGTCGAGAGAATAAACCATTTAGAAGAGCGCCAACTGAAGCCTATAGGCTTACTACTGGCATGGACATCCCTCATGTCGACTAAAGTTGTGAGTAGTAAAGTTCAATGTCATGAAAATGCTATAGAAACATCATCGTTACAAAAGCAAGGTTTGACCTGCAGGATCGCTGATCTTCAGCTGGGGGCAGTTCATGCGACGATAATGCAGGGATAGTGCAGCCGTATCAGACTAGTATTACCCAGTCTTTTAGACTACGAATCGGACTGACCGGGTCTGCAGTCTCCACAGAAGATCGAAGGTGAAATTGAAATGGCCTATAGAACTGTGGAGATCTGAGGGTTTTGCTTTTTGCTCATACCTATTCGTCCATGTCTCATCCAACTCGGACTAAAGTAGATGATTCTATTCTTTTTTCCTTAAAAACAAGGCTATGAATAGCCCAGTGTTCAAAAGATAGTACTTGGTACATGCGTGACAATTGTAGATCATCGAAGATCGATCATTTTAACATTCTAGAGAGCTCCAAGTAAGACGGAAGAGCAGGCATCATCTGCCCATCTCGACCTGACAGCTTCGGCTAATCTAGTCTTGTGTCTTGTCGATGAAATTAATCACCTTCCGTCCCGTAGTGCTCCTGACGAATCCCGAATAATCAGGTAGGTATTTCAAATCGAACAGCTCTTCGTTGTTCTCAAAAACGTGGAAGAATTTTCGTAACTCCTGTGTCAGTTCTTCTTCGCTAATCGTGCCTGGCTCATCGTGCCGAAGCACAAGCAGCTCAAGAACAATGTCTAGATGGTCCTTGTCTCCTTCATTATACCTCCGGATGATCTGATACTGCAAAATACCCCACGACTCGGTTCGTAGCACAGCCTGGACAACTGGGAATTCGAAGTACTCGCCGTACCAATCAAAGCTGATTCTTCGATCGCGTCCGTATATCCGCGCGACTTTGTAGTGAGGTGCATCTTCGGGTGAGATTTTGGCTTTGATCAACTCTGGCAAGGAGTGGAGTGAGCAAACATCACCACAGACATAACGGATGAGAGGATGACGCAGTCTCTGCAGCGAGGTTTGCACAAGCAGCCCTTTCTCGCCATTAGGAAGAGGATGAACATCGACATTGCATGGGTCTTGAGGGTCTTCCACAGAAAAAGGGAATACCTCAAGATGCATCAGACGCTGGTCATACACAAAATCGGCGAAGTGCTGCTCCTTCGTGGTCTCTGTCAGCTCGGCTGGCGAAGCGGCCCAAGGCCCAGCTTCCGCACTACCAATTACAGAAGAGACAGCTATATTGGGAAAGACAGAGTTCAAAAAGCTGCGCTGGGCCGGGGTCATTGGCTCTGAGGTATATAGCGCCTTGTTTATCAGCAGTTGCCTTCGCTTGTCCTCTGAGAGGGTGGAGATGTATCGCGCTAGCTGAATGATTTGACCTGCGTCGCCGGCAATGGCATTCACTCGATATCCAATGAGTGTCTCAATCATCTGGTCTTGCTCCATCTGGCTGCCAGCACAAAGAACCGTGGCGCCAGACCCCTCGAGCACCTCGGAAGTAAGGTCCAAAGCCCTGCAAAAGTTAAAAACAGTTTTTCCCCAATTGAATGAATACAAGTCAAAACTTACCTGTAAAGATGTCCCGACACGTGCATTGTCATGACCCAGTCTCCTGGCCCTGTGATTCCACAAGATCGCAAGAGAGATCCAATGGCTGCTCGTTGTTGACGGGTCTCTCGCGAATCCGTCGCAAAGACCATTGGAGGCCCTCCACCAGATCCTCCACCAGTCGTGCTGATGTAAGTTCCTTGTCGATATCCATTCCGAGGGTCTTGATCAGTGGTAAGGCGAGCGATCTCCTTGTATCTAATACCTTTAGCTATGCAGGAGAGAGATGAAAGCGGGAAAGCTTACAGAGCTTCTTTCCGGGTCAATGGGAATGCTGATAGCTTGAAGTCTGTTCCTGACTCTTTTTGCTTTGCTAGCAGAATAGGTAAATCTTCACTCTTCGGTGGATATGGAGTGTCAGAATAAAAAGGGTGAATACTGGCGATGGCCAGAATATCGCACAAGTCGAAGCCGTTCGTCATCTTCAGATCAGACGCAAGCTTCAGGTATGAGCACAGTGATGCTACAATCAGCAAGCTGGAGCATTTATGAGCTCAATACGGAAGTATTTATTAGTCAATTCTATAGGTAAAGTGGGTTCTGGTGGCGGGAGTGGAGTGCATTATTCAATAGTAGCGTCGCGCTAATGTGCCCATAAATGTGGACCAGATGGAGACCCCTAGGGATGCAGATCGCCTCATGCATTGGTATGTACTAGTATTCATTAGTTGTATCAATATCGGTGTATTTGACTCAAAAACACTAGTGATGTATACCTATATCAAGAGCGCCACTTAAGAAATGCAGCCGCCAGAGTATCATACCCATTTAGAACAACTTTTACATCACCGCGGGCGCAACTATGAAGAAGCCAGTGAACCATTTTAGCAGTATCTGCTTTCCCCAAAGTGGTGAAAATTTCTTTCACCCAGCAGATATTGACCCCGAGACTCGATCCGCTCTACTTGAGAAGTATCATCTCGAGCTCGAGAAGTGTAGCCCTCGGGAGACGTGGGCTGGTGATGCCCACCATAAATCGGTGCCGTATCCAGTGCTCGGCAACGAAGCTCATCAACGTCAGCTTTCAGAGCTAAGCGAAGCATTGGTTCTAGCAATTACCGATATTGTGGAACGATGGTGGTCGGATGCTGAGGCCCGCTTTCCAAAGCGGATGCCGGTCGAACCAGTTGAGGAAAATCTGCTGCAAGTGAGTTAGAATCCTTGGAATTTTGTTGATTCTTGCTAAAGGGGTTTAGTGGATGCAAAAACTGGACGCACATGTACTTCGTCCATTCAGATCCTGTCAAGGCTCCTGGAGGCCCGATTTTCTGCTTGAATCGTCGGATGACCCCGAGCGGATCGAGAATTATCGAATCTGTGAGATCAACGCTCGGTTTTGTTGGAATGGATTCCTATTTACTGCATTTGGCCAACAGGCCCTTCTGAATATGGGTATCGAGCAATATGGTATCAAAGGAGCCACAGACCCGCAAAAGGTTAGAACCTCGCGTGCCTATACATAAAAGATACTGATACAGTACAGGTCATTACTGGTTTGAACAGCCTCTTTGATTCTTCACTCCCCCTACATCTAGTCAAGGGGCAGGAGCACGGATACGATATCCACATGTTCGTGCCATATGCCCAGCGTTGCCTGGGGATGGATGTTAAAGTCATTCCTCCCGAGAGTCTCCGATTGATACCCGCTGCAGCTCCCGGTGGATACAAATTGTACTGTCTGTCTGGGGAGAATACCAAACAGCCGACAATATTGAATGACGCCGGCGAGTCTTTAGAAGAAGTGCATCAGCTAGGTGTGGAACTCCATCAACGAGAGTTGCTTGCCATGAGCTTTGAAATGCTTCAGCAAATCAGCTTGAGATGTTTCAACGACCTGCGTACTGTGCTTCTCGTTCATGACAAGCGCATGTTAGGCTTGGTTCAAGAAGAGCTGGATTCACTGGTTGCACGAAACGTGCTCTCGCCGCACCAAGCCGGGATACTTGATAAAGGACTTGTCCACACGATAATACCCGGATCAGACAAATTGGAGCATTTCATATCCAGGTGCCAGACAGACGTCTTTACCAAGAACAACTATCTGCTTAAGCCAGTTCGCAGCGGTAAGGGAGCGGGGATCTTATTTGGTGATCAGGTCACACAGGAGGAGTGGATGTCACTTCTCCAGAGCATGCGAGACCCTCGCCTAAAATGCGGGAAAACAACCTATGTTGTTCAGAAGCAAATTCAACAACGGATATATGATGTTCTGCCTGAAGAGGATACTGGAGTTGGAAACTTTCCTCTTGTCGGAACCTTCCATATCACCAATGGCGCATTCCTCGGTCTTGGACTTTGGCGAAGCGGCCCCGGTCGAATTTGTGCTTTAAGCCGTGGAGGAGCCTGGATGTGTTCGGTGATTCAACAGTGATGAAGATTGATTTCCCTGGGGCCAATACTGTTCTAGACATCTCCTCTCACTATCTCCTCTGATTTCATCTTACACTATAAGATTTGTCCTTTTGTTACTTTGGTTCAATGGAGATACTTTCAGAAATGACTAGGCATGCCTATGGATCTTAGATGGGTTGCATCTAACTAGCTTACCCCGTATGAATATGTGTAAACTATTTGTGTAAGGTCCATGTCTCTGTGGCATAGACTAGATCTACGGAGAAATCGAGAGTGCAGTTAGTGCATCGGCCTCCGCTAGTTCCGGATCGTCAAATATCAACCTTACATATGACCGTATTGGTACATGATACACGATACGATAAATTTCAGCTAGGTTCAGCTGGCTGAGAAAGCGTAGGTAAAGCAGGGAGTGGCGTAACAAGTATCCACTGCTCACGATTGATTATGGGCATGAGAAGAATCGATTAGCAAATGAAAACCTTCTTTCCGATGCATCCAATTTCCTCGCAGACGCTAAAGCAGTGAGATCTGCTTGCATATGGAGAACTCATACTTCAGCTCAGCCGTACTTGGTATAATGTTGTGGGTCAATTTTGTTCCAGGAATGTGGAGGTGGCTCGCGAGCAAGCGTGATGAAGTAGATGCGAGGGATGAGCACTCATCGGTATATATTCAATGTATAAAACACTCTAGTACCCTTGGTCCTCGCCTTCTTCCATCCTATCATCATTAATAATGGCTACAATGCAACGATTAACGAGATCTCTCCCCACGACAAGGAAGCAAGTCGTTCGAGTACCTAGAATATGTGAGCTTTGAGTTCACACTCTTCTCCCCGTATTTGCTAATAAAAATTGCCATTTTGGACCTATAGCACGTCTCACAGTCTCGAATCCTGCCATCGCTTCCCAACATGACCACCTGCGTACTGTCCATCACACCCTCCAGAGCGCCGGCGTTCTGCAAATCCAACTCGGCTTCCCCGACGACGAAAGCACTTACCTTCACAAACTATTATTGAATTTGCACCAACACCACGGCCATGGACTACCGATCACACACAGTGCAAATCGAGGTTGGATGTGGGACATTCGGCCCAGCCCCGAAAGCTTCCAGAGCAACAATACTCAAGCTCGATCTGAGACCATGGAAGAATTCCCCTGGCACACAGATTGCAGCTATGAGAGCTCTCCACCGCAATACTTCGCTCTCCAAGTTCTTCAGCCAGATCGATGTGGGGGCGGTACATTATCTATCTTGAATGTCGACGAATTGCTCACACTTCTCTCACCTTCCACCCTCGAGACCCTCTTCAGCCCCAATTTTCAGATCACTGTCCCACCCGAGTTCGTCAAAAGTCAGGCAGATACACAGATCGTCGGTGGCCTGCTGGCAATTAGCCCCGAGACGAACGCCATCAAGCTCCGCTTCCGAGAGGACATTGTTGTGCCGCTCACACATCAGGCATCTGAAGCGCTAGCTGAACTGAAATCCGTCCTATTGGGCCCAGCAGCCCATTCCCGAATACTCAACTTGAGAGCCAAGAATCTCCCGCGTGGGTCTATCATCTTGATGGACAATGGACGCTGGCTCCACGCACGGAACGAAGTCAAGGATCCAGATCGACATTTGCGACGAGTGCGTTGGGACGCTCGGCAATTTGCCAGACCTTCTGCTGCTCATCTAGGTTTGTAATTGCGCCATGAGATACCAAGCCTGCACTAAGCATGTTTGGTTGCATTTTCTTCTCATAATTGAGATTATATAGTATAACTCAATGCATTTCCGGTGTCATTGTCACTTGCCGGGCTTACAGCTGATCGAATGTTAGAATGGGACCGCTAATTTAGCGTGAAGGAAAATATATTAATCCGTGTTAATCCGCGTTTCGACCATCTATCTGCTCTGAGCGGTCTTGGCGAATGTCGAGATCTCTCTTTACACTAGGATGTCTTCACAGCTTATAATAGACGTTCATAAAGACCCCGTGATCATTATTTACAGTATTATCTTTACCACTAAATCCTATCTTCTTCTGTACTAGGGTATTATAACCCCTAAAAGAATCCCGACATTCGCTGATGTCTGACATTCGCCGAGCTCTCGGAATTCGGATTAATACATGTTCCTCTGGGCCAAGAGGCGCTAAAAATTAGCGGTCCCATTCTAACATTCGACCAGCTGTCGGTCGGTCACTTGCCTATACTATTGTTTTGAAAATCAAAATCCTTTCTCGAGCCATCTACTATGTGGATCTTCTAAGCCCGATTGGGTTTGTTATCCAGCCACGTACCTTCCACAGTGGCCGAACAATGCCGAGGAATGGACTCCTCTTTCGATGGGGCTTCAGCCGTAAGAACACGGGTTCCTGACCTGTACCTTGACCCATATATATGGGTTCGCCCCGCTGGATCAGATTTGTGTTTTTTTTCCGGTGGTACAGGGTCTATCTCCCGCTTGCAAAGTCTGGATGGCAGATCGGAAGCGATCGACACAAAGTTCCTGGATTTGGCAGCATATTGGCAATGGCAAATGCCCCTGGCGTTGCCGTACAGTGGGTGTATGTACTCCGTATAATGCAAAATCCTTCCCAACACTTCAGAAGTCCCACTGTATATGCGCGCAGCTCGCTTAAATAGAAAAACAAGTGCTCAACCAACACCCAGTCTTCATATCACGTGCGTTTCCTAATACTCTGAGACACCCCCAGGCTTGATTCCAGAAATTATCTCCACATTTGTATGTTGCCTAATCCGTGAGTTGGCTCTTGCCGGGAAGGAAGCTCAGGGTGTACTATATTACCTTGGCAAATAACCAATGTCTTGGCTGAACTCAATGTTACAGTTTGTGTGTGTATAATTTAATACTGTATGACCCATCGCGGGTTGAATATCACATCACGTGACATTTATATATCCAATGACTGTGACATCTTCCTTGGCTAATATTCTGACTACTTTCCTTGACTGCTGTGTGCTGACATAGAAAGACGACCCCGATCTTGGGAAGAAAGTGAATTCAAATTCGGAGAATTCTTAGGCGAGAACCGAGACACCTTTCTCAAGCATAGCTATCCTATATTATCCGGCGGAAGAGCATAACTATCTGAGTAGTACAGAGTGTCTAGTACCAATTTGCTTCGCTCGACATCGCAGCTGCAGATCTCGCGTCCTCGTTTTTGAGAACCAAGAAAAACAAGGAACAGATATACTCGAGTTTGAATAATGAGCAGTATCAATTACATCTTTTTCTGGAGTTCTGCCTTCAGGACGACTTAGTTACCTAGTTTATACGGCAGTAGCTCCTCGTTGAACCGGAATTTCGGTTATTTCCTTTCAAGTTTGTTACTAGAATTCTAAAATCGTTGTTTGCAAAATGTCTATTCCATGCAGTGATAATGTTGGAGCTGTCACAGGTTGGGAACACCCTACTAAGAATGGGTCTATACCCAATCAATAGTACTAGGAGGAGCGCTCTGCCAACTATTACATGAAGACTTCAGGAAGAGACAAGCAACTGCGTACTGCGAGGAGAGCTTTCCTTGGACAATAGACCAAAAATTCGCCATTCTAGGAACGTCTAGAGTCACTTACCTTGCACAATAGCTCACATCCTCTCGTGAAGTCTTTTTTGTATGTCTTCTGTGATAAAAGGAATAGAAAAGGGCGTTAGGAGTGGATATATCATCTCGTGATATTATTGTGGTCTTAGAGTAAACAAATAAAACCCGTGATATGTATTTCTGAAGACTAAGGCCGAATTTTTAATTATCTTGCTTACAGCTCTCCGAGTATGAGAATAAGACATAAAGGTTCAGACCAAAAACTTCATCTGTAAATGCCCTTGTCATCTAAATTACTGGCTACATATAACACTCTGGCGTCTTTCCCAAGCGCTGCTCACTTGCTACTTGTATAAATCGCCCAAGATTGTTCAATCCCTCGCTCTTTATCATCACTGATAGGCTCGAAATCAACAGCGCTGGTATATGTGACGATCTGGGAAGGATCGTACTTGCCAAACGAGGCAGGAGCGGTCACGTCCTCGTACTTGCCAAACGAGGCAGGAACGACTATGCCCTTCTACCTTCCCAAGTGGACGAACGAGAATTAAGCGAGACAAACGCAAGGGTATAAGAAGGGAAGAACCCGCACTCAGATAGTTTCTCTTTTTTCTTTCTTCTTCGTACTTAGAATTTGGTTTGAATTGCACTCCTTTCTTCTGAATCGAATTGGCTCGTAACAGTATATTGTTCATCCTTTAGTGCTTGCCTCTTCCTTTGAGAGTGGACACACAAAGAAATAACATTATCTCTTGTATCGTGCTTGGTTTGAGATCGACGATAATGGCAGACATCACGAGCAGATTTAAATAGCCGCTCAACGCCAGATCCAGTCCGAGGAATCGAGAGCATAAGAGATATGATAGTTAAGTAGTAGACAAATCGAGTCTGAATCTTTTGACCTTGACCATCATTAGTTGTAAGCTTAAGGATCTTGAGTGCATTGAGGGTAACCTCAAGAGTCAAGACCCTCCGATAGACTTGTGAAATTCCTCGCATCATGGTCGAAGGAAGCGGCTTTGACAAGATGGGCTCATTCGATCGTAAGATCGGTAAATTGAAAAGAACAGGGACAACGAAGATTAGTACAGGGCTGATTGGCTAAATGTTGAGCCAATTGATGGGAACCTGGGGCCATAGGAAGATAGTAGCCTCGCCTTTACTGTGGGTTTAGCTTTGCTGGCATGTTGGGCCGCAGTATGTTGTAGACATGGTAAAGTACTGAGTGGAGGGGTCTTTCTATGTTGGAGGGGCATTAAGGGATGACGTAATTTAGCGCTAAACCCAGAGAAGCAAAACTAACTCGAAAGGGAAATTCATCGTTTACATAACCGATTTACTTTCCCAGGGTCCCTTCTTCCGGCCAAGTCTTCTTCTTCTTCCATAGCTATCAACATCCCTGAAACTTCTTCTTTCTCTTTTCCATCCCCTCATAAACTTTCAATATGCCTCGCCAATTCTTCGTCGGTGGTAACTTCAAGATGTACGTTGTCTCGAGCTATGCTACCCCGCGGTCTCAAGCCCCTCACATTTTACCAATGCCTACTCGTTCGCGCAATTGACCCTATAAAGGAACGGTGTTGCTAAGAGCATCACCGAAATCGTGAAGAACCTCAATTCCGCCAAGCTTGACGACAGCACCGAGGTCGTCATCTCTCCTCCCGCCATCTACCTCGCTCTGACCCGCGAGCTGGCCGACCCCAAGATTGGTGTCGCTGCCCAAAACGTTTACGACAAGCCCAACGGTGCTTTCACCGGTGAGATCAGTGTTGAGCAGCTCCGCGATGCCAAGATCAACTGGGTTGTTATCGGCCACAGCGAGCGCCGAGTGATCCTGAAGGAGTCTGATGATGTATGCATACCCCGCAGTCCCCGAAACCCCAATCATCCTCAAACACTGCAGCCGAATGAAGCATCAACTAACCACTGCCCCAATAGTTCATTGCCCGCAAGACCAAGGCCGCCATTGAGGGCGGTGTCTCTGTCATCTTCTGTATCGGAGAGACCCTCGAGGTACGTCATTAGAACCCGGTTTTCCTATTTTCGTTCCGATAGTGGGTCATCGGGTCCAGATCGGCTATATGTCTTCTGAATGCATCCCGCTCACACCCGATTCTTATGCAGGAGCGTGAGGCCAACAAGACCATCGAGGTCGTCACCCGTCAGCTTGACGCTGCCGCCAAGGAGCTGAGCGCAGAGCAGTGGGACAAGGTCGTCATTGCCTACGAGCCTGTCTGGTATGAACTTATGGCATTGCCTCTATATCTACATACACCTGGACATATCTAACATGTATTTGTAGGGCTATTGGTACTGGAAAGGTCGCCACCACTGAGCAGGCTCAGGAGGTCCACGCCGCTATCCGCAAGTGGCTCGGCGAGTCTATCTCCGCCCACGCTCAGGAGAGCGTTCGCATCATTTACGGTGGCTCTGTCAGCGAGAAGAACTGCCGTGAGCTCGCTACCCAGCCCGATGTTGACGGTTTCTTGGTTGGCGGTGCCAGCTTGAAGCCTGCCTGTAAGTTCTTAGCACCTGCCCATCTACCGATTCTTTTACCAAATTGGTACTAACAAACTTCTACAGTCGTCGACATCATCAACGCCCGCATCTAAGAGATTTCCGAAAGAAACCAATACCCCCATAGTGCCCCTATCATCAAAGCAAAAAGCTCTGTGATGTAGGCGTCAGAAGATAACAGCTTGGAAATTCCAGGAAATTATCACGAATCTATGTACATTTCTGAAGTATATTTCGATAACACATAATCGTTGCTACCCAGCGGAGCAGTTATTTCCTTAGAGACTGTCCAATGATATGCGCTAGACAACCCATGTAACCTATGAAGAATACAACACCGAGACCCCAACCCCCCGCCAATACGACATGCCAGGACCCCCACCTCCACTCTGGGCCGAGCCGGTGGCCGAAGCCGAAGAAGCAGAAGGCGACAATGAGAAGGAACCCGGACCTAGCCCAACGCCCGCGCTCACTAGAAGCTCCTTAACCCGGCCTTCCCAGAGAAGCCGCACATTCCAAGACTGGTCAATGCGCAGTTTAATGACAGAGTCACTCGTTTCAGCCTCGCTGTGAGCGTTGGAGCCTACGGGGCCCTCAGGGCGAGCCGGGTCCGCTAGGAGCGGGGAAGCTGGTGAGCCAGGCAGGGAAACGCTGAAGTCATGCATGCGTATTTTGCGGCGGGCCCATTCGAGATCGTCGTGAATGGGGGAGCTGGGATTCTTGGATTGACGCCACAGCTCGCAGCCTGCGACCATTTCGCTTTCCCAGCTGTAGACGTTGAAGCCAAAACGAGAGCTGAAGGCGAGGTTAGGCGAGGCGCGGAGGGAATATGTTGTAGATAAAGAGCCCACAATCGGGGCCAATGTTAGTGTTAGAGTGTAGGGGAAGGTCGATATAGGTGTCCGGGTGCTGGAATGTGATGATGATGGCAGGACCTTTGTGGCTGCGGGTAATGTGGTGAATCGCAGGCCGGTTGACATGCCAATCAGTGATGATATCGGGGAATAGTACGCCTCTGCACCTGCGGACAGGAGGGACAATGGCGGCGGGACGTCGTCGCGAGTGTATCGAGGATCTGGGCCGAAGTTCCAGAGTCCGCGCCAACCGAACAGGGCGTTGTCTGTGCTGAAGAGGTACTCATTGCTGTACTTGCCAGTATCGTGGGATAGCTGGGTGAGCATTGAGGCCTGTGGTGCGGACTTAGATTGCGGTGGTCCCCGAGTTGAGCAGACAGCTAGCGACAGCTGCATATTCGTAGAGATTCTGCGTAGAAAGAGCGCATATAGAGTGGAGGGAGGTGGAAGATGGAGAGAAGCATGGAGCAGAGTAGCTTTACGCTTTGCCTCGCTTTCTTTGCTATTTTCTCCGCCTTTAGGATTTGGTGGTTCTGAGTGGCTTCCGTCTGTGAGCCCGGGAATGCTAACGCCGTCTAAGAGCGAGTCATATCCCCAGGTCTGGATTGGGGCCGCGGGGGCCTGCACTTGACGGTATCCCGGGCATATCTTTCGAAGCGGGATTGACGCACTTCTGCTTGGTAGGTCGTTAAATGGCACGGTACTAAATAGATATGACACAGATCCATCGAGCAAGCCAACGGTGCCAAGTGTGTAACTGGTCGCGAAATGGGGAGTGGACAGTGACGAGAGGTGAACGCGCAACCGTTCGGGGGTCGAGAAGTCCAGGATCGCTGTACCAACTGTATTAGACCAGCAACTTCCCTGCCCCATAGAGAGACTTTTGGGGGATAAATCAATTACATACATTGAGCGGTGGTGTTGAGTGACGAGTACGAGTTGTCGCGATTCCAGTGGGTCGCCTCGGCGAAGGACAGCTGGATGTAGTCCATAAAGTCCAGCATTGTCCAGGCTCAGCCCTTGCAGGTGACAATATGATAGCACCGTGAAACCAAACAAGATCGTTCGTAGCAAGCGCAATTGAAGACCCGACCCTGAGAGATCACAGCTGATTGCCCCATTCAGGTTAGCGTTGGATAAGCCCGGCGGTGGGTTAATCCGGTTATCAGCGAAGAAAAAATGTCTGTGGGGGAAACATCTAACCTTCTGCCTGAATTCATTGAACCACCAATTCTAAAATCATAATTCAATATGCCTCGTTCAAAGCGTGCGCGCATCGTCCACGAGTCCAAGACTGCCAAGAAAGATCACAAGGAGCAGACCCGGCGCCTATTCGCCAATATCCGGGAATGTATTGAAGAATATGATCATCTTTTTGTCTTTGCGGTCGATAACATGCGGAACACCTATTTGAAGGATGTGCGCACTGAATTCGCCGATAGCCGGTAAGAATCATTGCTCCAATCGGAATTTGCATAAGATATTGAATGGAAAAAACGCTTGATCAACAGCGGTGGATCCGATATCAAATATTTATATGCAAATCCTTCAACCAAAAGATCAGTTGTCTAATTATGTCTTTCCAGAGTTTTCTTCGGCAAGACCAAGGTCATGTGCAAGGCCCTTGGCGCTGATGTCGAAAGCGAAGCCGCTCCCAACCTGCGCAAACTCACTCCTTTCCTCGCCGGTGCCGTTGGATTGCTATTCACCTCCCGCACTCCGGAATCAGTGATCGACTACTTCGAGAACTTCCGTCCCCAGGACTTTGCTCGCGCTGGAACTGAAGCCACTCGCTCTTTCACTATCCCCAACGGCCTGGTCACCGCACGGGCCGGCGAGATCCCTGCTGAGCAGGACGAGCCTGTCAGCCACACCATTGAGCCCGCGCTCCGCAAGCTCGGTGTCCCCACCCGCTTGGTGAAGGGCAAGGTCATGCTTGAGTTGACTGAGGGTCAGGAGGGCTACCCCGTATGCAAAGAGGGAGAGACTCTGGACTCACGACAGACTACGTTGATGAAGATGTTCGGTATCACCTCGTCCGAGTTCAAGGTCGACCTCAAGGCCTACTGGACGCGGAGTACTGAGGAGGTCAAGATCCTCGAGACTGAGGGTGGAATGGATGTTGATGCATAGATGGGGATCTTCATATTTTTCCGTTTTTTATTTCTTCTCTTTCCCATTCGGCTCCCGTGTGGCCGAAACAAGAACTCTGCTGGGCATCTTTTGGAGTTTGGTGAGGGCGCTTTCTTTGCAAATATATTGAAGACTTGTGTGTTTTATCTCTCTTTCTCTCGCATCCTTTTACAGGAGGCTTTCCCTCCTGCTGGATTATGAGCCTATGACAAGATTCGGATACCAGGTCGAAAAAAGTCTACAAATTTACCTCGTTCTTGGACATATATCAACCGTAGTGCAGAACCGCTAGCTGTATTGCCTAGACTTTCATCTTTCTAGCAAGATACCTGCCTTTCAGTCGTTTCACATGGTCCTTACCTGGTCTTACCTGATGGTTCACCAGATTCCATTTTTGCGCGGAAGAGGACAGAACTAAAATACAATACTTACCCCTGCAGAGAAAACGAAATCTCATAGGACCAAGGGGAAAAAAGGGGGAAAGAAAAAAAAGCATTGGAAAACGAGTCAAGAAAACACCAAGGGAAATAAGAATAGATAGAACGGGGAATACAAGCACAATTCATGAGAATCTCCGTCTGCCGAGGAGTTTAGATGGACCAAGCAGGGGATGTGGCGAATAACCACTTTGAAATCGAGTTGTGATGTTGGTATGAGGTGAAAACATTGACGGTTGTGAGCGTTCGAACTGAATTGCACATGGGCCAATTCATGATTTACCCCCTTACCCTTGAGAAAGAGTGATAAAACTGGGTAGATCAGTGATACCCACCAGTACACCAGCAGACCCAGACTTCATCGGAAAGAGGTAAGACCCGGGGGATAAGTGAAGGGTTTAATACCTTCTCCTGGAACGAGGATCATCGTGTCCAGGTTCATCCTCACGGTTTCGCTTGCGTCCATAATCCTCCCGGCCGCCGTCACGACCACCATCACGGCCACCATCACGGCCACCGCCGCCATACCTGTCACCACGTTCACCACGTTCACGGTCCCGGTCGCGGAATCGGTCTCCGTTTCGGTCTCCAGTGCCTCGATCTCCCATGCGGTCACGATCACGATCTCTGTAACGGTCGTCACGGTCATAGTCGCGGCGGTCACGGTCAGCGTAGCTATCTCGAGGCCGCACAGGCTCCGAATTGCTGCCAGTTGCACCACGGTCGAATCTGCCACCGGCGCCACCACCGCGGTCACCACGATCACCACGATCACCACCGAAGCTACCACCTCTGAAACCTCCGCTACGTCCACCGCCAGGGCCGGAGGGCGCGTTAGGGGGAGCCTGTCCACCGAAGCCGCCACGGTTGCCCTGGTATCCGATACCACCGCGAGGACCACCGAAGCGATCATTGCCACCGCGGAAACCTCCACCACGGAAACCACCACCTCCACCTCTGCCCCCGAAGCCTCCGCGGAATCCGCCCCCATACCCACCCGGTCCAGATGGTGCGTTGAAACCAGGTCCACCACGGGGGAGTTGCGCGACCTTGGTGTATCCGCGCCCTCCGAGACCGCCACCAAGGCGACGGGGCTTCCACCCCTTGGTGGTGCGGCCACGCTCGACATCTACCACGACTGGTCGTCCCTTGATACTGAAGTTCTCTGTGTCTTTGTAGGCCGCTGATATTGAGGAAGGAACTGGGGTCAGCAACATTTCTTACCGCAAGACGAATTAAATGGGTGGGTTGGATGCCAAGTAAATTGCCATGGTTGTGATACCTTTCATATCCTTCTCGCGCTCGAACACGACAAATGCATAGCCTCTGTGGGGTTTCTTTTTCTTGTCTGATACTGTATCTTTGACGATGGTAATCTGGTATCACAAAGTTAGAGCTGGTTATCTTCACAAGGGATAAGGAAAACAAGACATACTCTTTCAATGGGACCAAATCGGCCAAACTCTCGTTCCAGGTCAGCTTCTTTGGCTTCATAACTGAGGCGTGAGACAAAGATAGTCCTGAATGGGTCGCCTCGAGCTTGAGGATCTTTATCCGGATTGTCTGTAAGACATAGCCACGTTAGCCTCTTGAAATAATGTTAAATGTGAAAAGAGGATAAAGCGTACAGTTTTGCAGTCCATCCGCTATCTGCTTCTCTAACTGCTCTTTCTTCTCGACTTTCTCGCGCAATTTGCGCTGCACCCCGCTTTCAGTTGCGTTGTAGGGAACTTCATCGGCAAAAGTTTTAGCATCGGCAAGGAACTGGGCAACTCCAGAGATAGTGCTCTTCTGGCAGTCATCTGGTGCGCGATCGCCTGGAGGCAGATATCGAAGGGGTGGACGCGGCTGGAACAGCGCCAGAAGTGGCGGGGGTAGCTTATCCGTCATACTGAGTGTGAAACCAATGCAGATAAAGTGGGGATGTGAAGTAAAGACGATATGTGGAAGATGAGTGAAACCTCAGGAGTCAGAGCTTCGTGTCGCAGTTGTGGTCTTAGCGGGTCGAATGATCAAAGTGCTGCACACGCCATTGGTAGCGTGACTCACCGCCCTTGCCAATCACGTGCACCAGAAAATGCCCCGAGAGCCATCGCGACTTGTAAACTCCGGCTATAACTATTGACGGCTGGAAAGATGCCGTTGCGCGGAATTAGAACATCTACGGCGGCCAGGGTATGTGAAGTCCGTATGTTTGATATTCAATTGACGAACTGACCCAAATCTGCTTAGAACGGCGCCGGTGCCTTCATCCTACAATGCAAACGCCTTGACTTCCATTACTGCAACTGGGCGGGCAGCTCAAAGGGCATGGTGTAGGTGTATCCTAAATGGTGAAACTGAAACTTCCCAGGAACATCCGTACTGACATTGAACATCGCAGTACTTTCTTAGAGAAACACCTCCCCGCTTTCGCCCGCGAGAACCCTCAGATTGAAATCCGTGTCTCTCCCCGACCCCAGAAGCACCCTCTGATTAAGGGCCTTTATATCAATGGCCGTGAGAAGCCCGTGTGTGTACGGAACTTGGAACCTCACGAAATCCTGAAGAAGGCAATTCTCCTCAAAGAAGCTAGTGGAGAGAAGTTGAAGCGGGTCAAGAAGCCAGTCACAAGTTTGAATGAGAGTGTGCGTGGTATCTGGTCACCATACCACGGTGATCTTCGGGGAGTCTAGACGGATGTGTTTTATTATTTACGGTTCATGTTCTCTCTGCGGTGGTGACTATCAGGTATCCCCACTGCAACCTACTGTACTATTGACCTGGGTTGTGTTTATTTCTTCGTTCTTGTCTATTTGCTCCCTGGAAGCCAATGGTGTTTTGAAACCCATATTTTATGCATACAAAACTTGAGCCTATATCAATTCTCTTCCATGATTTCTCTATACCGGAGGTCACCGAAAGTTTGGCTTAACTCCGGACTCCGGGATACTTCTTTCATCCAAATCCGATGGTCACATATCTTCTTAACCTGATTTGGATTTGAAAGCATACATACGTTCCTAACAAGGCTGGTGTTGGCTAGCTTATTGCATGGTTCGCAATCTACTTGACCGGGGCTCGGCTTTTGCCAGTGTTCGCCCATCCCCTAGTTTCTACCTGCGTAATCCTCTTCCCCCACTCTCATATTTCATATTTCATCTGAACGCCTTACTTGCGAAAAAGTGAAGATGCAGTGTGGCATTTCTGCCGACACTCACTTTGGACCCCGAGTGCTGCCATGCCGTCGCGATTTCGACTTTACGTTGCTCTTCGAGCAGGGCATTCTCGCTTTGGCTCCGGATCTTTTATTCCTCACTCTATGCATTTTTCAGTGTATCATTTCCACAGAGAGCCCAAGAAAGTACGACGTAGTGCTGCTGGCACTTGGAAAGTGGTAGGTCTCCCTTTTCCTTTCCTGTAGCTCCGAAATTAGGCTTGCAAGCTAATGTGATCTTGAAATACCATGCAGGTAATTTCCACTCTACTACTAGCTCCGAAACTTGTTCTCCTCGTTTTGTGGTGTTTACCAAACTCTCCAAGAACAAAGCTCTCGGTTCCGTCCGCTGCAGTGGCAATGACCAGCACTCTGGCGTTGCTACTGCTATCACTCTATGAGCACACACGTTCACCGAGGCCTTCCAGTTTGATTTGCCTTTATTTGCTAGTGAGTATAATATTTGAAATTGCAGAAGTCCGGACTTTGTGGCTGTTATATCCTTCAAGCTATCCACTCGCAGCGACAGCCACTATTACACTCATAACCCGATCCCTGTTGCTCGTGTTGGAGACGAATCCAAAAGGCAAAAATCTTAGCCCACAATGCGGTCATGTTTCACCAGAAAATTCAACCGGAATCTTCAGTCACGGCACCTATTGGTGGCTCAATCGGTTCTTTATGAGTGGCTTCCGAGGCAACCTATCCCTCAATGATCTCTATCCCCTAGATGAAGAACTTTCTTCCAAGTCTACAACCTCCTGGTACCATCAGCAGTGGGAAAACAACGAAGGTGAATTCATATGATATGTCATGGATGATATTGATACTAAATCATGACTGCCAGCGAAACGCACGCAACGGCTCGCACTTTTCCGGGACGTGGTCTATAACTTGAAGTGGACAGTAGCAGCAGCAATTGCTCCTCGCCTTTGTTTGATTGGGTTCAAGTTCGCCCAGCCCTTTCTTATTAACGACCTTATTGACTACGTTTCCAAGAACGGCTCTAGTGAGTTATCTGGGGTCAAATATGGATTCATCGGCACGACGATGCTAGTCTATGTTGGGATAGCAGTGAGCAAATCATAAGTCCTTTTCTGGCTTGATACCTTATATCGCTAATGATCTTTATCCCAAATTTTCAGGCAAGCACTGCTCTCTACAAGCGTCAAGCTATCCGCATGGTCACTATGACTCGTGGGTCCTTAGTTACAATGATATATGCAAAGACCCTACACCAAGCTCCGGATAGAGGCCAAGAGGCTAGTCCGACTACGCTGATGAGCACCGATATCGATCGGATTGTCACCGGGCTATTAAACTCCCATGAGCTCTGGGCATCCCCAGTAGAGATTGTGATTGCGCTGGTACTTCTGGGTAAATCCATTGGATACCCTTCGGTGGCTGCTCTAGGTGTTGCTTTAGGTATGTGCCTTTTAAATCGGCAATAGAAAGACGTGTCAAAGAAAGTAACTAATCAAAATATAGTGAGCGTACTAGGATCGTCCTATCTCGCCCCTCAAATGCGCCAAAAGCAAAAGACTTGGGTACATGCTGTTCAGGAGAGAGTCAATTTTACTTCGATAATGCTGAAAGAGCTGGATCAAAATGTTCGGTATTGAATCAGACGTGGCATTCAAGACAAACGGTCTTCGTGAGTTGGAACTACATCAATCAAAGCCCTACCGATCAATGATTGTCGGTGTCAATGTTTTGAGTGCGTTGTCGACTGCCATCGCCCCTGCCCTAACAATAGCCGTGTACGCCACTACACAGCTGAACCTCAGGCTAGAGACACCCAGCACTGATGTTGCCTTCACAACTCTGTCCTTAATTCCTCTTTTGACAAACCCGGTAGTACTATTATCTGTCTCCTTGACTAGATTCACATCCACTATTGGCTGTTTTGATCGGATTCAAGAATTTCTTTGCAAGAAAAACCGAGTACATGGGCTCTCATCTGTTGATGAATACTTGCTGCCTGAGGACGTGTCAGGGATGGAACTCGAATCAGTGCCGACTCAGTCACAACCTCTTGTCTGCATGACTGATTGCTGCTTTAGCCTGGGCTTAGAGGCTCCAGCAATACTCCATGGACTAACGTTGAAGATCCAAAATGGTTCTTTTTTGGCTGTGACTGGCCCTCTTGGCTCTGGCAAGTCATCTTTACTCAAAGCAATGCTGTGTGAAATGCATTCTACGGAAGGAATATTGTCTGTTCGTTCGGTCAGAAAGGCGTATTGCCAGCAAGCTCCATGGATATTCAATGGCACACTAAGAACTAACATCATCGGAGAATCACCACTTGACGAAACGTGGCTCAAAGAGGTGGTATATGTCTGTAACCTGGATTTTGAAATCACAAGTCTTTCTCTTGGACTTGACACAGTGACTGGGAGCTCAGGAGCTCAACTTAGTGGAGGACAGAAGCAGCGAGTGGTAAGTATACCGGTAACCTCATTCCATCTTAGGTGCTAATTTGCGTGAGTTTAGGCTTTGGCTAGAGCAATTTACGCAAGACCATTTTTGCTGATTTTAGATGACATCTTTGGCGCCTTGGACACAGTGACATCAAGGCTAATTTTCCAGCGACTCCTCGGTCGTGCTGGCTTGGTCAGGAGGCTGGGTATCGCAACCATTCTTGTGACAACAGCTGGTTAGTCTAACTTGAACCCTTCAAATACTTACGGCGCTGACCATTGCCCTTATTTCACCAGTGGAACACCTCAAAGAAGCCGATAATTTGATTGTTCTTTCAAAGGACGGTCGCATGGAATTTCAAGGGCTTTTCGAAGAACTGGCGAAGAAGAATCAGTACATACAGAGTCTTTCGTGTTCCCCAAGTCCGGAAGACAGTGAAGTCGAAGAAGAGAGCAAGGACAGTAACTCCCAGGTGGGGGAAATACGAGAAGCGAAGAAAGAAACCAGACAAACGACTAAAAGAAAGACCGTTTCCAAAATCTCCAGGGGTGATGGGGACATCTCACTCTACACCTACTACATTAATTCGTTTGGTTGGTGGGCATTTGGGCTAACGCTGGCATTCGCAATTGTATACGTGTTTTGTATTGCATTTCCGCGTGAGTATACCCATCGCTAGATATATTCAGAGACATTGTTACTAAACCACATCGCAGAGGTCATGCTTAGCTGGTGGTGTGACTCAGCTCCTCCAAAAAATTATATTTATCTTGGTTCCTATGTCGGCATTTCTTCCATCGCCATTATCGCGATTGGGGCTTTTATCGGGTATGTTCTAAGCACTGTCACATCATATATCTATGGAGATATCTCATATACCTTAGGTTATTTTTGTCTGGACTGTTCCCAGGTCGGCTGTTAAGCTGCATAAGGTCTTCTTGGGCACAATAATGAGGTCAGTAATGGAGACAGACTCCTTTTATATTAGACTGAATGTGTTGCTGACGAGCTTTCCAGATCACCTTGGCCGAGCCTGGCTCGGATAGATACAGGAAGTTTGATCAATAGGTAAGCCATATATTTGAGATTCAACGTTTCACTTTCGATGGATTTAACCTGAAAAATTCTGAACATCTCCAGATTTAGCCAAGACATGTCTCTTCTCGACATGCAGCTTCCTGTTGCTTTTGGCATAACTCTCCAGAGTGCGAAGCTTCCTTCCTCAGCATTCACAAATCGTTAAATGCTGACTTTTATCGAGTAGGCTTTTTGACTTGTATTGCACAAGGGGCCTTGATCGCTACTGGATCGGGCTACATGTCTGTCATAATACCCTTCTGCATCGTTGCAGTATGGATAATCCAGGCTTTCTACTTGCGTACTTCACGACAGATCAGACTTCTCGATCTAGAAGCAAAGGCTCCTCTGTATACCCACTTCATAGAAACGACAGAGGGCCTAACTACTGTGCGTGCACTTCATTGGCAACGTCAATTTGCAGATCGGAATGCCGAGCTCCTCGACAAGTCCCAGAAACCATTTTACACCATGTATTCCATTCAGCAGTGGTTGCAGGTTGTTTTGGATCTACTTGTTGCGGGCCTTGCCACCGTTCTTGTTTCCCTAGCTGTTTTTGTGACAAAGCAAAGTAGCTCTGGGGCCGTCGGCGTTGCCCTTGTGAACTTACTTTCATTCACCTCAACGTTGACATTGTTGATTACCAATTGGACACAGCTTGAGACTTCTCTAGGCGCAATTGCAAGGGTCAAGCAATTTGTGACTGATCCACAGCTAAAACCTATTGCCAGAAGAGAGATGGCTTGTCTTGAGGACTGGCCTTCGGAAGGTCGAATGGAATTTCGAAGGGTTTCTGCTTCATATGGGTAAGTGTCTCTCAGCATCGCTCTTCAAAACAAATAGAAATGAACCAAAGAACTAAGATTGCTCTTAGGGGGGCATGATTCCGCTCCAGTTGTGCGGGATATCTCATTTACACTGGAAGGTGGGCAGAAACTTGGCATTTGTGGGAGAACTGGAAGGTAAGGCTGGATAAGCTTTATGAATGAGGCATAACTGATAAGTTGAATAGTGGGAAGAGTTCTTTACTTGCTTGCATCTTCTCTCTCGCGACGATCACGTCTGGCAAAATCTACATTGACGGCATCGACATCTCAACCGTTCCTAAAGAGAAGCTTCATTCTGCATTGGTCCCAATATCTCAAAATCCCCTGATTCTTCCCGGTTCTGTTCGCGAAAATATTTCCTTGGGAATATCATCAACGATTGATGACTCGGAGATGATTTCTGCCCTGGAGGGAGTCGGGCTTTGGAATCAGATCCGCGACAATGGTGGCCTGACTGCGAACATTGATTCAACCCATCTGTCAAATGGGCAAAACCAGATCTTCTGCATTGCCCGTGCTATTTTATCACCTGGTAGAATTGTCATCATGGATGAGCCTACGGGCGGGTTTGATGAACATACCGAGAAATTAGCCACAGAGCTTCTTCGTGAACGGCTGAAAGGACGCACTATCATTTCGATTGCTCATCAAATCAATACTGTGATGGACTCGGACTTGGTGATGGTTGTAGATCAAGGTACAGTATCTGAAATTGGAGAACCGCGAGAGCTTTTGAGTAGGAAGGGCATGTTTTGGCAGTTGTTCTGGGCATAAAAGGTGTCTAAATTGAAGTCAGCCAGCGAGAATCCGTTCAAATAGTCTTCCAAAGAACCACAATGGGCTCCACCGCAGGTTCCACAACGGGCCGTCCCGCACAATTATGTCCACACCGAATCAAGAACCGTTGGATATTTTTCGGGCTTACTAGACAGATTTCTCTAAGCCACATTAGCCACATTAGCCACGTCAATCGCATCATACTATGCTTGTGATGTAGGTTGGTTGGTTTTGATAGCAACTACAGGATTGGTAGGAATGTGTCTCTGCCATATTGCCCTAGTATCATATATATGTTAGCAAATCTTCAATGCCGCCGTCATAGTCTGGGTTAAACGTGGCATGATAAGCGCTTTTTTTGTAGCGACTTCTTTATTAAGCTTCAACCATGCACAGGGACTGTCTTACCTACTAGGGCAATGAGTTAACGGTATTAACGGTCACTTTCATTACCCACTACGTCACGTATAGTCACTATATGTTGTGGCTCACCAAGTACATGTGAGGCACAGTAAAGCACAAATGAAAAGTAGCCATACAAGCTCGCTATTACCCGTAGACCTGACGCGATTGAGTCTAGGCGCTAGGTTGAGCTCTTGGGCGAATCGGCTAGGGATGCTTGCACAATGTAATGAAATATACAAAAGAGGGACGGAGAGTACCCGCACGTGCTAAATAGAGGAGATTAGTTGACCATTCTCTTTTCTTTCTTTGCTTTTTGCTAATAGTGTTCCTATATCAAAAATCCTGCCAAGCAGTTCTAAATAAAACACCAAATCAATATTGTTTGCACGCACTCTTATCTCTCTCTCTCTTGTGAAGCCCACAAGTCAGAGTCTATGAATATCCTTGCCACCCCACGACAGGATGAACAGAAAAAGGAGGTACTCTGGTCGGATTGGTGGAAACTGAGGGGGCGGGATTTCGCCCGAGTGAACATCCTTGACATATTCAACCCCTGAATTATTTGTCCCGCACATCAGTTGGTCTCACTTTTACTACTCCATATGTTGTACCTTTCTTGATCTGGGAGCTCGCCGAAGCCTATTCCACCATGTCCCAGATCATAAACTCCTTTCAGCAACTAGAAAAGGTTCGTACCTTCTTTTGATTCCCTGCATGAGTTTATGTCGTTATATGGTGGCTGTGAGATTGAAGAAAGTACCTCAAAAAGGATAAGTTGAGTTGACCCCGCTAATTTTGGTCGCAGTTGGGTGAAGGCACCTACGCAACGGTTGGTATCCCCGAGAAGAGTTTTAGTCTTTCTGCAAGAATACAGTTCATGATAAGACTAGGTCTACAAAGGTCGGAACAATCAGACCAATGAGCTGGTGGCCCTGAAAGAGATTCATCTCGATGCCGATGAAGGGACGCCGTCGACTGCGATCCGTGAGATCTCCCTGATGAAGGAGCTTCACCATGAGAATATCCTGGCCCTGTATGATGTGGTTCATACTGGCAAAAGTCTCGTGATAGTGTCGGAATACATGGACAAGGACCTAAAGCGCTTTATGGACGACCACGGCGGCGCTCTTGATCTCCCCACCCTCAAGTTCTTCGCATACCAAATGCTGCGAGGCATAGCCTACTGTCACGAGAATAGCATCTTGCACCGGGATCTTAAGCCTCAAAATCTGCTTATTAGCCGGGGTGGAGATCTGAAGTTGGCAGATTTCGGTCTAGCCCGTGCCTTTAACATCCCCGTCAATACTTTCTCAAATGAGGTGGTCACCCTCTGGTACAGACCTCCGGATGTGCTCTTGGGGAGCCGCTCTTACAACACCAGCCTCGATCTCTGGTCAGCGGGCTGCATCATCGCCGAGATGTATACCGGTCGGCCGTTGTTTTCGGGAAACGCGAACAATGATCAGCTGCTCAAAATCTTTCAAGTGATGGGCACCCCGTCTGAACGCACTTGGCCGGGCATCAGTCAGTTGCCAGAATTTAAGCCCAATTTTCCTATCTACCCGAGTCAAGACCTGCGACTCCTGATCACCAGGATGGATCCTCTCGCAGCTGATCTGCTCGAGCGCATGCTGAAATTGCAACCCGAGCTACGGATCAGCGCCGCTGATGCGCTACGCCATTCATGGTTTGACAGTCTTGTTTCTGAGACAGGGATATCAACACGCAAAGTTCCTATGATTGTTTAGATTTCCAATGCTGCTAGGTACAGGAGAACATGGTAAACCCATAATAAAGAGTGAGGGCATTACGACGTCAGGACCATCATCAAGGGCAGGGGGAAACCAGGCTTGCCCTGGGCGTGTCTACGATTGAACACTCGAGACATGAAACGCAATCTTCATATAACCGAAGGCTGATATTGATACTTCTCATCCAATATCTTCCAGCCAACATAATATACTTCATATATCTAGTTCCTAGATCATAATGTCGAGGGCCACGGTGCCTGACTGATATTCTGAAGGTATTAGTTAGTCTCACAGTCGATCTTGGATACTTAGCAAGAGTAATCATATTTACCAGGCAGCCTGAGAACTAGAATACACTGCAATCTACCATGAGTTTCAGTACAACATCCACTGCGCAAATGATTTCTACGCTGACCTTCTGCGGTACTAGAGTAACCTTCTCATACGGCGTTCACATATATCGCCGTTTACCTCGCTAGTAGTAAAGCTGAAAACAAGTGATGCGGCTATACCTTACCACTCAATGATATTTCTTTGATCTCTAGCTTATTTTAGCTGCGGTCAAGTGTTACCAGAGTTGCCTACATAGTAGATCTCCATTGAACAATATTTATAATATTCTGCATATGATGAGCTACGAAACCACCGGGGTCATAACGCCATCATAAGTCACTGAATCGTAATTTGGATATAAATCATTATTTAAAAACGCCTGCCAGTTCAAATGCATCTTGGGTATCGACGGAATGAGGAAAGGAGATGGCCATAACACCAGAATGCAAATGAATGCCCGCAAAATCAATGCCCAGGGTAAATCACAGGTAAAGGTGGTACATAGCCGTCGGGCTACTTACAGGTTTATTACAACCTGCAACTTGGCACCTTGAGAACGGCTTTGTCTTTGAAGCTGCCTTTTTAGACTTTGAGATGGACCGATTCCCAGCGCATTCGCCACAATATACCTAAAAGAATTGTTAGTCTTTGTAACGGACTCTTCAGCTCAAAATGGACAATACTCACATGGCCACATGGTTTTGCAATATGAATCTGTTGTTTTAGCCCCTCTCCGGTTCCCAACTCGTCCTGGCAGTTCGGACAGATAGGTACGTCATCTTCTGCCAAAAGGCGAGTAAATCCTTCCGGTGCTGGGCTTAGTCCTTTATATGATGATCGAGGCTGGGGCGCCGGCTGAATAGGCGGATAAAGAACCGCAGAGTGAAGCAACCCCAAGTCACTCATGCCATTGGCACGATAGCCGGACCATGTCCCATCCGATCTTCTCGGCCGGCGTGTATGAGGAGGGAAGTGCATTGGTATTGGAATGCCATTGGTGTCGAAGTACCTGGGTTCTATTGGTCTCGGCCTGAGGGTAGAAGACCCAACAATCTGAACATCTCCACTGCCCGGCGAGACCTCCGCTTCCAGATCGATTACAGCAGGACGATCAGCCATGGTGGACGTGTGGTTCATCAAATCTCCCGGAAATCGTAATGGACGGGGGGGTGTGAAGGGACCGAATATTGATGTCACATTCCGATGGGGAGGAGAGTCTGGATCGTTTGTCAAGTCGATCACGGCATTATCTCCAGGTGAAAGCATCACCGGCCGTCGGTAGTCGAATCCATCTCTATCTCTTCTGGGTGGCAAGCGGGAATCAGATCGAGCGTGGTCGGAGCGACGTGGGTGGAAGTGCTGTTCCCAAGCGGCATCACCGCTTCCATCATCTTCTGTGGCCATCTCACGATGTCTTCGCTGAGAGAGATAGGAATCTTGTTAGCTAGGTTCTTAATGATCTGATCGGGTGCCCCGCCCGTTTCACGACGAGTGAAGGCTTACCTTGGTCCTGGCGCCCATAAACTGGACGCCAGAGTTTTCACTCATTTCAGGGCCTATTCCTGAAGTCAAGGAATGGTATTTTGCAGAGAAAGGAGAAATTGAAGGCCACCAGGGAGGTGAAAGAGCAAGATTGGAATCCATCTTTGTGTCTAGGCCGAGTCGCAAGGCGGCGAACTCGTGCCAATGTTATAAGGCGGTCTGATTAGTGGCCTTCCAGAATTCCAAAATTGACAAGACGAACTGGCTCTAGCAGCAGATATTTAACTCATTTCTGTAGGGATTTGTTGCTGTCTACTATGAGTATTCCACACCAAGTTTCATATGAAGTTTGGACCAAATGAAAGGTATGAATTCACGATGAAATCTTTCATTCGTCTCTAAATTTACCTGTGAATCTTGGAATATCATCTGTGAATACCATCTGTGAATATCATCGCACCAAGAGCTTTCAAATCAAACACCATGGAAAATTCAGAAGGTCGCATGCTCTAATATTACAGTATTTTCCTGGTGATCATGACTGTGCCTCTAGCACTGTGATCACACCCGCCTCATTCAACGCCACAATACTCTGAGCAGCTGATCCCCAAGCAACCGAGGTAGCAGGGACCGCACTCCGCAGAGGCTCTGACCACCCCTTGGAGGCCTTTGAGTATTGCTGGACAGTTACTCCGCCGGGCCCACCAGTCAAGAGGAATTGGCCAGTATAATCCCAGAAGATTGAGTCAATCTGGCTTCCTGTGTCCAGTACCTTGGTCTCCTTGGAGCTGCGGAGATCCCAGATTGATACAGTGGTGGACTGCGCGGCTACCGCAGCCAGGTAAGTACCGTTCTCAGAGAAGAACAGACATTTCACTGGGCCCGACATCGTATAGTCCGCAGCAGCGGCGCCGGTCTTGACATCGAAGATCTTGACTTTTCCGTCTGCGCCACCGGCCGCGATCAAGTGACCATCTGGGTGGAAGTTGACAGACAGTAGAGCTGAACAAAAGTGATTAGCATCGCGCTTGGATATATGAGTTCCATATGTTGACTTCTTACCTGCATCGCAGAAAATTTGGGAGACCACAGTGTTGGTGGCGAGATCATAAAGCACATAACTCTTATCAACACCAACAGAAGCAGCAATATCACCAGTAGCGTGGACTGTGACAGCCGTCACCTCACCAGAGTGGGAGGCGAAGCTTGCAACTTCAGCGCCATTCTCAAAGACCTTGACGGAGCCCGTAGAGGAGGCAACGACGGCCTTGTTTCCTGCCCATGTCGCATCGATGACTGGGCCATCTGTCTTGAGGGTCTGTACGACACTCTTCTGGGAGAGCGAGTAGACACCAGCCACGCCGTCAACACCGCCAACAAGAACCAGGTCACCTGTCGGGTTGATAGATAACGCGCGGCCACCGGGGTAGAGAGGTTCCGAGACCTCAGATGGCTTAAATGTGGAAATAGCCTCACTTGAGGCCCAGCCCTCGGGGACTGCGCGCTTACGCCGGGTCTTTGATAGTCTGTCCAATAATTAGTCGTCTATCCACAATGCGATGAAGAAGCACCGAATTCACGTACGCTGCCTGTGTGTTCTCAATTCGCTCCAACACTGCTTGGGGCAGGCCCGTGGAGTCCACCTGCATAGCCTCTCCTCCGGCGCGAGTGGCACCAACGGAAACGTTCGAAAGTGCCTCGCGGGCCTCGTCCCTCTCCTGCGTCAGGCGCGCAATCACCCGCACCGCGGCATCATGCTGATAGAGTGCCGAACTTAGCTCGCGCCTTGTCTGTGCCAAATTCTGCTGCAAAGTGAAGGCCTCCAGGGCCAAGGCATCCCACTCTTCTTGAAAAACGCTGAGCAGAGACGGGATAGATGTAAGAGTAGGGGGTCGAGGTCGGACAACGCGTTGCGACTTGAGATCGATCAAATCGTCGGTGGTAAGCTCCTCGCCGTTCACGGGATCTTTGCCATGCTCGGCAATGTATGCCTCAATAAGGCGCTTTTCAAATACGCTGCCTATTTAATTATGAGATTCATGTCGTGCGCGCAAGGTGATTTTGAAGACTTACCGCTCTTGGTAGAGACGACGGGCACTTGAGGTGCTTCTCCGGAGACTGTGAGAAAGGTTTAGTGAGAAACTCGCTTGAAAGAAGAGCACAAAATTGCGATTCATAGTAGGCTACTCACTAGCACAAAGCATAGTTAATTGGTATTGGTTGATGAGGGTTGATGGACAGGACTTGACGCGAAACGGCTCCTTGGACTTTTCGATGTGTCCTATTATGGTTTAGCGTCTTGAGCTGAGGGCGGTGTAGTAGGGCGGAATATTGCGACCTGCAGTGACGTAAGTCGGGCGAATTTTGTCCGGCAGAAAAGTACAGTCCTTCCCGTGATAGGTACGGGGCCAGAGAAATAGGCGGTGAGGCTTAGGAATGTATGGTCGCAGTAGCCCGCCGTATAGACCACCAGCTATCGACTTTCACAATTCTCCAATTCTTGCTTTGCATATAGAGATAACTTAACTTTCTGTTTCGATTGAACAAAATGGATTTCCCTCGATGATCTACAGAATAGGCAAAGGGCACGAGTACAAAGCTTTACTTAAAAGCTAGCAAGCGAATACAGCATTCCCACCATGCCTAAGAACCCAAAGTTTGAGTATGGTATGTCGCTCTGCACCTTTCAAACATGTCCCATGTCATTCTAATCTGTTATGCAGATGCAAAGCAGCCTGCATTTCTGCAGAAGCTCCGGGGCCAGTATGGAGACAGCACTGGTCGCTTGGAGCGGCCAGCCTTACGACCGACCAGACTCAAGGTCAATAATGACGACGACGATGACGAGCCTACCTACCTCGACGAAGAGAGTAACGAAGTGATTTCCAAGGAGGAATACAAGGCATTGGTTGGTGAAAGTGGTCCGAAAGGAGAGGACGAGGCCGGCGACTCAGCGAAGGACAAATCCACTGGCGATCAAGACAAATCCCAAACAGAAGTTTCTACCAACAAACAGAACAACCTCACTGAGGTTGGAGGTCAGAGGAAACGGAAAAAGGCCAAAGTGGTGGGTGAGGACAATGCCGAAGCCGAAGAAGTCCTTCCCAAGGCAACTTCGAAGAAATCCAAGAAACCCAAGAAGATCAAGCTCTCGTTCGACGAGGAATGAGAGTCCAGCAAGGCTGGAAACTAGAGTATTCCTCTGCGCCATGTCGTGGGTGGTTGACTCAGTGTAGAGCATTGAGGACTCATAATGAGTCAATAGAACGGATTACACAACAGGGATTGTATACCGTCATAGGATTAGAGACTGTCAAAGTCAAAGTCATGTAGAAGAATACATACTAATGTCAGTATTCAGTCTATCAGATAAAAATCCATCCAGTTTAAAATAATAATTCAAGTGCTATAAAAGGTCTGGGCCAAGGGCGCATCTTTATCCGCAATTTTGTTTCGCAACTTTTTTTTCTCTCTCACGGGATCCAGTCGCCTTCCATTCTTTTTACAAACAACCTGCTCTTGGTCTCAGTATCAGCCAAGATGCCTGTTGTAAATGTCGACCAGCTGGTCCGCCTACAGCGGAAGCCCAAGGACATAAGAAATGTGCGTGTGCCCCTCCATCCCACTCATATCAGGGCTTTATACTAATCTCAGCCACCAGATCTGCATTTTGGCCCACGTTGTAAGTCAAGAAATTTACACATTCGTTCCAAATGAGCCTGAAATGCTCATCGCGCTTTCTTTTGCATTTTTAGGATCATGGCAAGACATCTTTGACGGATAGTCTTATTGCCACAAATGGCATCATTTCACCCAAGCTGGCCGGTAAAATCCGCTACCTGGACTCTCGCCCGGATGAGCAGCTTCGAGGTATTACAATGGAATCATCAGCTATCTCACTGTTCTTCTCGATGCTCCGCCGTCCAAGCCCGGACGCAGAGCCAGTGACCAAGGAGTATCTGATCAATCTGATCGATTCACCTGGTCATATCGATTTCAGCAGCGAGGTCTCAACCGCATCTCGTCTTTGTGACGGTGCAGTTGTGCTCGTTGATGCAGTTGAAGGTGTCTGCAGTCAGACTGTGACAGTCCTGCGACAGACTTGGGTTGAGCAGTTGAAGCCGATCTTAGTTATTAACAAGATGGACCGCTTGGTAACAGAGCTGAAGATGAGCCCGGCCGAGGCTTTCTCGCATCTTAGTCGACTGCTGGAACAGGTCAATGCTGTCATCGGTAGTTTCTACCAGGGCGAACGCATGGAAGAAGATCTGCAGTGGCGTGAGCGTATGGAGGATCGTGTCAATGCTGCAGCGGCTCGGGACCAAGACAACAAAAAGTCATCAGCTGACGATGAGTCTGCACAAAGCATCACTGAGGGAACTGAATTCGAGGAGCGCGACGACGAGGATCTTTATTTCGCACCTGAGAAAAATAACGTCATCTTCTGCAGTGCCGTTGATGGCTGGGCTTTCACAATCCGGCAATTCGCCGCCATTTATGAGAAGAAACTCGGAATCAAACGAACAGTTCTGGAGAAAGTGCTTTGGGGTGATTATTATTTAGACCCTAAAACTAAACGCGTCTTGGGTGTGAAGCATCTGAGAGGGCGTGCTTTAAAGCCTATGTTCGTTCAATTGGTCTTGGATAGCATTTGGGCAGCTTATCAAGCCACCACAGGTGGTGACAAGGGCAAAGGGTAAGTTGAAAACGAACCCAACTATCGTGTCAACGCTGATATGATATTGACCTTTACTAGTGACCCAGTGTTGCTGGAGAAGATTACCAAATCGCTCAACATTAACATCCCGGTATATGTCTTGCGCGGACGTGACCCTAGGAACATTATGAATACACTATTCTCTCAGTGGCTGCCACTATCTACTGCCTTGCTGGTTTCCGTCATTGAATATCTCCCCAGTCCGCCCGTTGCGCAAGCTGCCCGACTACCTGAAATGATCAAAACGTCCCCTGGCGCTGCTTTCATTGCCGACGATATCAAGACCGCCATGGTGGAATTCAAGACAGGACCTGAACAGCCCGTCGTGGCATACGTCAGCAAGATGGTTGCCATCCCGGAGAGCGAGCTTCTGTCTAATAGAAAGCGTAGCGAAGGCGCCATGACTGCGGACGAAGCTCGTCAAATTGCGCGTCGCAAGCGGGAGGAGATTGCAAAGATGCAGGCGGAAGCCCGCAGTAATGGAGAAGCAGATGACTTTGATCGTATGACATCGATTTTCGAAACCACCTCATTGATCACTGAGACGACCGAGGAGCCAGAAGAGCCAGTAGAGAAGGAGGACCCTGATCATCTTATTGGTTTCGCCCGACTTTTCTCCGGAACGCTTTCGGTTGGAGATGAGATCTATGTCCTCCCGCCCAAGTTCTCTCCAGCCAACCCGCACGCCAGCCCGGAGCCAAAGAAAGTCATAGTCACAGACCTGTACCTAATGATGGGCAGAGCTCTTGAGCCCCTCAAGTCCGTACCAGCAGGTGTGGTATTCGGAATTGGAGGTCTTGCGGGCCATGTGTTGAAGACAGGCACCCTCTGCAGCCGACTGGATGGAGGTATCAACTTGGCCGGTGTTTCGCTGAGCATGCCGCCCATTGTCCGAGTCGCGCTGGAACCAGTCAACCCAGCAGACCTAAGCAAACTAGTCACCGGCTTGCGCTTGCTTGAACAGAGTGATCCTTGTGCGCAGTACGAAGTGCTCCCGAGTGGTGAACACGTTATCCTCACAGCAGGTGAACTGCACTTGGAGCGTTGTGTGACGGATCTGCGCGAGCGTTTCGCCCGTTGCGAAATCCAGACTGGTGAGGCTATCGTCCCCTACCGTGAAACTATTGTCCACGGTCCTGAGATGGCTGCACCCAAGAACCCCGACCTAGGACGTGGAGCCGTTGTGACGGTTTCTGCTTCAAAGCAAATGACCCTTCGTCTGCGCGTGGTTCCGATGCCAGAGGCTATCACGGAATTCCTGACTAAACAAGTCGGAACTATCAAGCAACTCCAATTGGAGAAGCGCTCAGAGGCTGAAGGCAAGATAGAGACCGAGAACGCAGCCGAAGCTGCCGTTGACGGTACTGGCGAGACGCCTGAAGGCAACATTCTCTCCAAGCAGGAGTTCCGCGAAGGACTAGAGAAGTTGTTCAACGACGAGGTCAAGGAAGATAAGGAGCTATGGAAGAACGTCGTCGACCGAATTACCGCTTTCGGGCCCCGGAGAGTCGGGCCCAACATTCTAGTTGATGCAACTGCAGTCAACACATGCGAGAAATTGTGAGTACAACGGTCAAAGAAAACACTCCATCTATCATTCGGATCTAATATCTCCTTCCTAGCTTGGTCGATGACACCAAGCAACAGATCGACGGTGATAACCACCAGGCACTGGTCGTGCGCGATTTCAACGACAAGATCGCGTATGCCTTCCAGCTCGCAACAGGCCAAGGCCCCTTGTGTCAGGAGCCTATGCAAGGCGTGGCCGTGTTCTTGGAAGACTTATCTGTGCAGTCTAGCGCAGGTGACGAGCTTGACATGGGCCGGTTGACAGGCGAGTCAATCAGACTGGTACGTGAAGGTATCTCGGCCGGTTTCCTGGACTGGAGCCCTCGTATCATGCTCGCAATGTACAGTTGCGAGATCCAAGCGACCAGTGAGTATTTCATTCTTCCCTTCTGTTCATGTCTTCACACAACCACACGCGCCACACGCGAAAAGCAAACCCACAGCTAACACATCATCTTCACCCTTAAAGCCGAAGTCCTAGGCCGCGTCTACGCCGTAATCACGCGCCGCCGAGGCCGCATTCTCTCCGAAATAATGAAAGAAGGCACGCCATTCTTCACGATCCTGGCGCTTCTCCCCGTAGCCGAGTCGTTCGGGTTCGCCGAGGAGATCCGAAAGAGGACATCCGGCGCTGCGCAACCGCAACTGATTTTCGCAGGCTTCGAGGCTCTCGACGAGGATCCTTTCTGGGTTCCTGCTACAGAGGAAGAACTTGAGGATCTGGGTGAGCTTGCGGATAAACAGAACGTTGCTAAGCGGTATATGGATGCTGTGCGCAATCGCAAGGGTTTGGTTGTTCAGGGACGCAAGTTGATTGATGCAGAGAAGCAGAAGACTCTGAAGAAATAAGGCCGGTGTACTATTTACTCTAGTAGAGTCCAAAATGGAAGATTTATTTGCATTTCATTTGGGGCTTTTTTGTAGGATAGATATGGATGATACATGGATTGGGGATGTTACTCCGAAAACATCTGTCGAGTCGCACTGAGTAGACTTGGACACGATAGATGAAAAATTGGAGGTTCACAGAAGATGAGAGTCCTCCGCGTGTTCTTCAAAGAAAAACATCAATCTCCCTCACTTGACAAACACAGTCCGACATGGCATAGGTCTCGACCGTGTATACTAAGGAGGGTTACCCAGTAGGGTCTACGAGTAGAGGCGTTGACGCCTCTCTACTTAGAAAGAAGAGGAAGGAGAAAAGCGACCACAGGATGGGAGCCTGCAGCCGAGAGTCGAAGGAAAGGAAGGGCGGAAATGACATAGATTTCTCAATCATGTCTCCGTTGGGTATCTTTATTCTGAAATCGTTATCAATGTCAATAATGCACATGTCTGTGAGTGCACAGTGGCGTAATTGGATCGAGTCAAACGGGGAAAGGGGGGCTTTTCCCACTTCGTGAAACATGAAAGTCGTCATGATCAAGCGGGATGTTGCTGCTTGAGAGCATGGAACAAGTGTGGGGGCTTGAAAGGCATTCCTCGTAGTGAAGGTTGGGAGTGAATTTTTGTTGACAACCATGGATCCCGGAGGTAGAAAGACAATGCTCTCAGGGGATGAGCAGCAGATCTGCCACGGACATCTGGGTGGACGGGAGCAGATTCTGCTTGATTGTTGTAAGCTGAACCACTATGTGGCCAGTTGACAGTAGAGGAAAGGGTCATAGCCATTGGACATTCAAAGAGAAAGCCAAAAGCCAGACAAGGAGGGGACCAAGTTCGAACAATTACATGTTCAGAACGGCCTGGCGACCTTCCTCTGCTCACTAGTTCCAGTGACAGGATCTCTCATTTCCTTCCAGCTGACAGGGAACATCATGTTGCCAGCATCACTGCGAGCCATGACAACACCGAGATCATTGCGCGCGGTAGTGATGTAGTAA